CGATTGGATTTTGCTGGTCCAGGATTGGGGCTGGTGGAGGGCTTTGGTTAATTCGGTGATGAACCACCGGATTCCCTAAACCATTCAATTGGTGAGTAGTTGCAACTGCAATATAACCTAAATTTGTAGTTACTGATAAGGGCCAACACAGTTGTAAATCCTGTAACGCCCTTAATGGTACGTTTCTGTGGGTAGATTTGACCTAGTTTTTGCCATCATACGGTAAGTGGTCAGTAATACGTACTTCATACTCACTATAACTTTTACAAGCAGCATCCAATCAATAGACAAACTTGTGCAAATCCGTAGATGGTTCCTTTGCCGTTGGTTTCTTGAAAATTTCAAACTTGAGAAGTTCAGCTCGCTTTTCTTGAGTAATAATAATGTAACTACCAGGAAACTTTTACTGAATTCATCAGCAACTAATTCCTCGGGAGAACACAGCCACCAAACATGTCGTTGCAATTAAACTTAGAGATGTGCAACTTTTGTTCGTTCCACAAGTCTAGCAACCATGGCCTCACAGAGCGTCACAGAGTTTACATTTATTCCACATACATGGTTACTACGCCGAGGAAAAACTGCCAATAGTCAACGATTAATAAAGATACAGCCACTTTTAAGGTTATGACATTTAAGTATTTCATTGACATAAACGGTCTCTCCCATTTATAAATTGATTATAAAATGTTATAATATATAGCGAATTTATCGGTCTCAGTTCTCCTTCCCTAGATGTATTAGGCCACAATTACATGCAACAGCGCCCTGTTTGAGAAGCTGATAGTCACTCACAAAACCAAGTGATTTAGCTTATTTATGAAACTCGAATGTTTACAAAGGCTCATTGCTTTTCCTCATTTTGAGTCACATAAATCCAGTTAAAGTCCCCACAGATTTTTCTTGTAACCCCATGCAAATATTATCCACCCATCTATGTCGATGTGTTCCCATGACAAATTCAATGGGTCTAACTGGTTCAAATCAAAATTTGAAATTAATTTAGAAAATCAGTTGTAAAATATAAGAAATTTAAAACAAAGTCTTAATACAACGGTATTATTATAAACCAAATGTTGCTTTATCCTTAAGTTTACGAGAGTAGAACGTCATTACTGTCTGTTGAAAATTTTTAAAAGTAGTTGGTGTGTACTGCATTAAATTTTAAATAATTTTCTGTTTGTTGTTAGTAAAATCCATAAAAATTTAAGGTGTGCACGTCTGTTAGTAAACTTACTCGTTTGTTACGTCTGAGTGTTTTTGTTTCATTTTGCGGATTATCAGTGGTTTCGATTGTTCAGGAAACTTCATATCTCAAGCAGGGATTAAACCACATACTGGAACATTACTCATACAAAAGTAGTGTTAGATATTTTACTAAAGACTGATTGTGTTATAATTCTGGAGTAATCTAAGAATCTGTTTGCAGCAGTAGGGCTAATTTAGAAGAATTTTAAGTTGGCAGTGATGGTGATTCAATAAACTATCCTTCGCGAAAACTTTGTCACACAGATGTATAAAAAGTTTGATTAAATGTAGAATAAGTCACAACCACTGTTTAGGCAGTTATAGTGCTGACCGAGCTACCGAGCCCTATCATTTAAGTGTACATGTGAAAGCAGTTGTGTTCTTTGGTTTTGACCTGAGCAAAGCTGTAAGAATGTTTAGTGTGGTCAGAAGTATTAAATTAAAATGGATTTTAGAGAAATAGGATGGGGTGGCATGGACTGGATTCATCTGGCCAAGTATAGGAACCTGTGGTGGGCTCTTGTAAACATGGTAATGAACCTTTGGGTTCCATAACATTTTGGGAATTTCTTTTGAGAGGCTTCTCAAGGACTCAGCTCCATGATGTAAGTATATGCAATTGACTAGAGTAGATAACCATTTGAAAGACAGCATAAAACTTACAAATGTTGATAATGCTGAAAATACTTTTATGAAGAGCGTTTGCAGTTTGGTGAAAAAATTTTCAATGCTGTATGTAGACTTTGTTGACACTTTTGCAGTATTAAAGTCCATGTGGCAGATGATTATGTTCCAAGGCTTGAACATTTCCAGTTTATTACTTCACTGCAACTATTCCACTATCTAGGGAAATTAACATTTCTTGGTAAAGTAGAGAATGCACAATGTTAATAACCCAGTAATCATTTGTGACATCTTTCTAGAGAATCAAATTATAATGCCTGGTGAAAATTCTCCTCAATTGAAACATCTGCATCTGAAATGAAACAGAACTGAACTGTTTCATTGGAACTGGAACATGACAATTGCAAATCATTAACACTTAAATCACTGTATTTTCTACTGCCACTGAGGGTTGCACAATCAACAGACAAAGAGACAGACAGACTTGAAGAGGTTAAGCTTACTGTAAATTCTGCCTGGATGATCACCAAAGCTGAAAACTTGTTGAATACATAACCTGGCAGAAACGTGATTCAGGCAGCCATTTCACATGTATCGATCCATGGAATATAATAAAGGTGTGTACATATTGACTTGTTTATGTAATCTGTTTATATGTTAATCAACTGTATACGTTATTTACAGAACAGACGGAATTTATTAGTTTAGAATGTCAGGCCAAAAGAAGCACAGAAGTTACTTTCTAAACTGAAGGTCATGACTTTTAATCTGAACGTAATTTATGTATCTGTGACAATGAAGTAAAAATTGAAGTCTGAAAAGTGTATTTTCAAGTTGCAGATAAACAACATTTGTTGAGAATCAGAATGTGTATTTTTGGATTAGAATTAATTCATGATAAACGACACTGCCTCAGGTTATAAGTGTATTTATGCACAAAGCTTATAGATGCTTAAATTATTTCATTATACTGAGATTGTGTAACACTTGAAACATAATGAAGCAAACAGTATTATCAAGAAAATTGTGATGAGTGTTCATTCAGACATAGCAGTACAAACAATTTTTATAATGATACATTTACTAAAGCATTAAAAATAAGTTTTCAGTTAGATTTTATATACAGGGTAATTTTCTTATTGTATGATTCAGCAAACTAAGTGGAAATAAATTAATCTTACTTCTAGCTTTAACCTTTAAAGACTGTAACGGAGCTTAAGCACATTCCGGCTCTCCGTGCATCACATTTGCGTACCAATAAACCTGGTTCTCTCCAGACTTGCAGTACAAGGGGTATAATTCTCCTTTTCCTGTATGATAATAGTTAAGGACAATATTTGTTTCAATAAGATTTCTGTCTTCTGGGTTGTTAATATACGTATGTAATTGTTAATTAGAACTCTTGCTTTTCAGCCACACGTAGTTGTCTGTTGCATCTGCGTGTGGAAAGTTTTTGTTGCGTAAAATTGACCGCACTTTCCTTTCACATCATCCTGGAAACAAACGATGTATTGCATGAAGTACAAAAGAAATACATTTATACTGTTCATGGTATGGATACTTTACCATACATGTTGCAGGTACATGACAGTTTAAAAAAAAAAAAAGGAGTTTTTCTCTCTCAATCCTCTAATTAAGCCACACTTTGAGTCGTTCTTTTCTTTCAAGTCAAGAACTGCTCACTTCTGTAGTCAATAATGCCCTTAAGACTTTCCATAGAACTGTAGTGACTCGGCACGCTTTACCTACACCAGATATGAATACACTCGTCTTTGCTTTAATTGAAGATAACTTCTGGTCAAGCGTTAAAGTTTTGTAGTGGCGTGTAGTTTGACATAACGAGAATGCTGCTCTTCATCTTGTGGGCCAGCCAGAAAACACTGATGCGTGGGCAAAAGCTTAGGCCTTCGAAATAGTCTCCTGGTTCCTAGGATTAGTCCCAGAAGCAAAACTGTACTGAGGGCCACAAACCCAGTAGCGATGGCGATGTTCGTGCCGCCTAGGTCCTGTGAACTTATTGGTTGTTGAACTGTGATGCATCGTGCTCTGGGTCCTGTCGATGGAAAGTCTCCTGTTGTCGCACAGACACGATAAGGCCCCACAGGAAGGTCTCCGATAACTGTCCTTGGATTCGAACAATTGAGGTGCTGTTGCGCTATAGGGGAATTGCTTGTAAACACTGCGACAGCAAGCGAACAGTGTGCATCGGGCAGGGGCTGCTCCCACAGCTGGACCACTATTAACAACGTTCCAGGTGAACTCACATTCGCATGCAGGGCGGCGATGTGCGTCGTCAAACTAAATTCTGGTAAAGGCTGTGACTGAGGTTGTGCTGTGGGTATTAGCGGTATAATGTCGCTGCAACCAAGCACTAATGCCATCTCATCGGAGGCTACTCCACCGCCTTCTAGAAGCACCACGCAATAGCGGTAACGGTGGCCGAGCAACAGGCCCGAGCTTGATAATGTCAGAGTCAGCGCTCTCGGATCGGCTAACTGGGAGGAATTGCATCGGACCGGGTTGGATTCCAACAGCACCTCGTGTGCACCCACTTCTTCATACACGAACAGAGCGTCACAGGCATAAGGTGCCGCGCTAGCTTCGACATTCCACAAGAGTTTTACACTGTAGCCATCGTAGTGAAATATGTGGAGGGTAACCTGTTTACCAGAAACAGGAACTTGAGGAGCGAGAGGTCCCTGAGGTGGTGCTGGCCCAGTATCTTCTTCATCCTCTCCACATAGCAGCTCATGTGGTGAAACTTCTGCCAATAAACCGTTCTCCAGCGATGGAGGTGTGGCACACACAGCTGTGGCTTGGTCAGAGGCAGGCAGATGGCTCGAATTGGTGAGCCATTCGGCAAATTCGGCAAGACTGCAGTCACAGTTAAGTGGGTTGTCTGTGCAAACAGAATCATATATCAGTTCCTATAGGATGAGCTTTTCACAGCAGCGTCGGTACAGATTTTGATCTTCTGGGTGGTTCCTGCTTGTTTCGGCTGTACGCCAGAAGATACTGCCTCGATTTTCAGATATGAAAACCGCATGGAACAACTCAGAAGATCACCAAGTATCAGTATGTTTAAGTGCATATTTTTCCAGCTTATTTCAACAACCAGTTTGTTATTTGTACGAATAATGAGAAGCTTTTTGGTCCGTGGAACATTAGATCTTGGTTTACAGACCAATCTGTCTTACGTTAATCTGAAACTAATTAACCCACAGTTATGTTGGGATTCACAAGATGTATTTTTCAGTGGATACTAAACCTGTAATGTTGATAATGATACAATTCTCAAATAAATACAATTAAACACTCGATCGAGTAATTAACACATGATGGTGAGACAGATGATTGAGGTTATGTATGTATGTATATACACATAAAAGACGTGCACACACACAATTTAAATCTTTCTTACCTGCCAAAGTAAGCCGACGAAGCATTACGCCTGAAGTTAGGGCATCACTTGTCACCATAGATATGTCATTATCATCGAGCCTCAATTCTTTCAAATTTCTTAGCGGAACCACAAGGTCGGCAGTAAGTGCTCGGAGGAAATTATGAGCCAGGTCGAGTTGCACCAATCTTGAGAGATGTGCCAAAGAGTTCCCAGACACCGCTACAATACGATTGTGTGCCATGTCAAGTTGCGTAAGCGTCCGCAACTCACTAAACGCGTTGTCTTCGAGTACGTCGATCTGATTATGGTTCAGAGTAAGAGAGACGAGCGACGCGAAACCTGTGAGTGCACCTCGACGAACACTGCTGATCTGATTGTGAGCTAGCTGCAGAACTCTGAGGCCTGGTAATGCGGGAAGGGTGGTTGAACCTAAAGGACCCGCAAGTAAGTTGTCGCTGACATCCAGCTCTTGTAGAGACCGCATTCCTCGAAGAACTGACACGGCATTCACGCCAAGCCTGTTGCCTCTCAAGCGCAGTGTTTGTAGCTTTGGTAACGACGAAATTGCGTCATCTTCCAACGCAGATAATCTGTTCTCGCTCAGTTCCAAGAAAGTGAGGTTAAACAACCCCTACAGAAAAGAAAAGCCAGCATTGTGTTACGATTTATAGCCCTCACAGGGACACACTTGCAAGAAGCAATAAACATGTTTAGACAGCTCACAGGACAATAAAAAATTTAAATGTTAATTATTACAATGGAACTGATAAATGGTTTTACTCATCATAACATTCAATCAGACATGTCATTTCGATAAGCCTCGCCATTTTAAATTCCAACTTTATGTTAATATAACACACCTTGTTTACAAAAATGAGGCCTGTAGACCGTATCAAGGTGGTATAACCTTTACATCAGGCGCAAAAAAAATTTCATTACTAATTTTAGTTTCCCCACTTCATGGTACCTGCACCTTGTCGTGGTGGTGGGGCTTGACCCCAAGAGCTACTTGTAGGGCCTCCCTAGCCAGATTGGTCGAGGGGGAGAGGTCAGACTAAGACAGGTACCCTGGTCATCCAGGCTAGGGGTTGGTCACAAGGCTAACAACCTTGCACCGTAAAAAGGAAGATGTTTCGTAACCTCAATCAAAGCCTCGGACAGACGGACCAAATGGAATAGGAGAGTTGAGGAGGCCATGGACCGAATACGGACCGGAGAGCCATAGAAGAAGAAATTTAGTTTAAGTAAAAATTTTTTTTTAACTTTTCATTTTGATTGATTTAATGTGTTCTCAGATATGAATACTTGTTACAGGTGGGTAGATTATCTTTAAATTCTTTAACCAACCAAACGAATGTATATAGGCACTGTCTGAAATCTTACACTTTTAAAACTAAGTACGCATATGAAGTTTCTAGTTTCAGAATGTGGCAACAATGCATAAAACAATAAAATCAATTTACCTAGCTCGTAGTAGTTCCTGATTGAGGTTAGGAATGACAGTTGAATTCTACTTTATCAATGAATGCGCTATAATATACAAGAATAAATAAATTAATATTAAAAATCACTTATATGAACATACCAAATATTTTACGTTGAAATCTGTAGATAATTCTAGTAAGTTTCGTTAAATTTGTTGTTCAGTGACGAAACATCCTTCTACTTTTTGACTGACATACACAACTTTCTGTTTGTTCAATGACCACGTGGTTTGTTATTTCAATAACTTTTATTAGTATTTATCATTTACGCTGTTTTCTGTTTTGCAGCAAAGAAATGCATGAGCTACGCTCATAATGGGGGGGCGGAACTAACATTCTCATATAGAGACAATTGGTTAAAAGAATTTTGTTGGCCCAGGACAGGATTCCGGTGGAAGGCTTTGGTTAATTCGGTGATGAACCATCGGGTTCCATAAGCCATATAGTTAGTATACTACAAATAAATCTACGAAATTAAGGAATGATCAGGCTACACATTTGGAGTTTAAAACTAATTATGGAGTAACAGTTGATTATGATGATGATAACTCATTATTTTCATCATAAGTGGGAAATAAAACAAAAAAGCTGGCATTAATAGAGCAATTAGAACTATTATGGAATAATACAAGATCAAACATTCTTTACCATATTCTGTTCTTTTGGATAGAAGAAAATAATGAATATAATATCTGGGATATTAAAACGTAAATAATTGATACTTTAACGTAAATTCTCTAGATGATCAGAACGTTTAATATTATAAAGTTTTTAAACCCTCAAATGTCTTAGAATTAGTATGAAAGCTAAAAACTGCCAAAATGTCAACCAAATAAACTTCAAACAACTTAATGTAAGTTACATTTCTGACATACTAACACATAATCCATGGGTAAACTTAATTATTGGAACATTATAATTTTCAAAAAAATATCCGGGTACCCAAGAACAAGGCGATGGATCACAAATTACGATTTTCAATGCTTTTTCATGATTTTGACTGACTTTTGGTATTTTTTGTAAAAAATTGGATTTTTCCCAAAATGGGCTTAATCGGTATATAGTATCTACTCACCCTAGATCTCCATTTGTGGCGACGCAAGACAGAAAATATTTATGCCACAATTCTTCACGATCGCGACGAATTAACTAATCTCACTGATGTGGTTACTGCAGACATCGAGTCTAGACAATTAATTTCCAGCGTGGGCTCAATTCCAAGTCGCTCTGAGTCATGTGTTCAGGATAAAGGAAGACACTTCGATAATATTCAGTGCCCATCTCACGGACAGAAAAGCGTCCAAACTGTAGTATTCTGAAGTAACGATTAAAAAATTCTCAAGGGCGGAATTTGCCTTACTTCTACAGTCCGCCAGACCAGGAGAAAATCCCTGCTAGGAATGCGATATACGCGCATGCGCAAGATTTCGCGGTGAGTGACGACCCGTCCTAAAAGCATTCGTTCCACAACCACTGAACGAACAACAGACGACAGGCTTTCGTGTGTTCTAATGGGTACAGCTTTAAGGTTACCTCACAGTGGCACAGAGGTTTAATCTAGAATATTATGACAACACCCACAGAACACATTAAAAGTGCGCTCACTACACGCTACTCTTAACTGCTTGATGTTTTCAGTCTGTGTAGTAGCCTTAAACTCTGACGTATCACACTTCCCACCAATAGCAGCCCTCTAGTCCACCAGGCAGTAAACATTCCCCGCGCACCGCAACAGAAACGACTTCTCAAAGCAGAGTTTTTCTCGTCATCTGTGGACAGTACCTGTCTCTCTTTATTTTATTGTAAACAAGCAAATCTACTGGTGTATTAAGACGACATTAGACAATAAAAGCGACATCAAAGATATTTCGTAACTAGTAAACGATGACGAATCTAGAAAAAGATCAAACTTTGTGCTCTGAACGATCTCTTCCATAACCTCCTTAATATTATACAAGAGCTATGAATCACCCTGCAGGTGAGTCTAGTAAAAATCAACCAATTCGACCTGAAGCAGTATCGATTTATTTGTCATGAATGATCGAGACAAGAGATGATCATGAGAAAATTGCACAAATGGCATGCAGTAGATTTTCTTATCCCTCAGAATATACTAAAAAAAACAGTGGGAGGATTTTGCTGTCTGAAGATTACCGATACGGAACCTCATTCAAAGTCTTTCATGACTCATTAGTGATTGATGGGAAAGCTTCTGCTTAGGTAAACCGGTTTCTTCAGCCAGCTGTTCCTATCGGCAACACGACATCGAGTTCAAGAACATAACTGTCACCATCACACAAAGGTTTATACTAGATGTGAGATACAAAGATTTCAGTGAGAAAGTAATGTCCTTCACATAAGTTGCAAATCACTGCGCTTTTAAACTGCGAAGGTTTAAAAAAAAACATGATTTCCACTCTTCTTTTGTTTCCTGCATAAATGTCAGTCCTACTTTGCTAGCCATATCGTTACCTTTTTATAGCTTTCTTTTTAATGAATTGGCGGAATTTGATACAGTATACGGAACAAAGTCTACCAGTGTATTCGATTAAAACACATATCGACATAGGTTCTTGTTCGATAGTTGTAACTTTGACCACAAGATCGCAGCACCTCATTATCGGTCGCGCGTGCAGTGGTGCCATCTACATGCGCAATGTGTAAGCCGAGAGAGGGGAGTTCATTAGTAGTGGTGGTCGAACAACCTCAGCTGTTAGAGCTACAAACAAACTGAGAACGATTTCTAGGTCGTGCAGAACAGCACAAACTCCGTACCAAGTGTCTTCCAAATATATTTAGTGGTTCTCAAATTGAATCGACTGTACAGAGCAGCCCACAATGTGTTCTAGTTATTCACCATCGTATCCAGATTACATTCGCTTTAATTTCAAACACCTAAATAAATTAGTATGTTTTTGTTTAATTAAATATAAAATTAGTCTTATATGTATGTCAGAAAATAAACAACGCCAAATGTACTGTCCACAAATCACGAGAAAATCCCTGCAGCGGGAAATCGTTTCTGTTGCGGTGCGCGGGGAATGTTTACTGCCTGGTGGACTAGAGGGCTGCTATTGGTGGGAAGTGCGATACGTCAGAGTTTAAGGCTACTACACAGACTGAAAATATCAATCAGTTAAGAGTAGCCTGTAGTGAGCGCACTTTTAATGTGTTCTGTGGGTGTTGTTATAATATTCTAGATTAAATCGCTGTGCCTCTGTGAGGTAATCTTAAAGCTGTAGCCATTAGAACACACGAAAGCCTGTTGTCTGTTGCTCGTCCAGTGGTTGTGGAACGAATGCTTTAAGGATCGGTTGTCACTCACCGCGAAATCTTGCGCATGCGCGTATATCGCATTCCTAGCAGGGATTTTCTCCTGCTGCGCAGTTAAACAATTATTATTTTAGATGAGTTTCAACTGGCTCGAGGGTGGTTCCAGTGGCGGGTTATTGTAATGACGGAAATTAAACTTCAGGTTCTATAAGATACGTAACTTACCTTGTACCTAAGCGACTATAAACATCTCAAGTAGAAATTCTACTCCAAGGAAGGAATGGGTAAGCAGATAGTTTAACTAAAATACGCCATACGTCTAGTGCCCAGCCTCTTACCTTAAAAGAGCCAGTGCTAAGAGTCTCTAGGAAATTATGAGAGAGATCAAGTCGGTCCAGGGCGGGGATAGCCGATAGTGCTTCTGTGGGTACGGTCTGGAGTTTGTTGTTTGGTAACCCAAGGGCCTGCAGCGGCCCGGCCAGCCCCGAGAACGCCTGATCGGCCACGTGGTGTATCTCTCCCGAGGACACAACAAGACCATGAAGAATGACGCCCTCTAGGAGTGTCCCGGGTAGTGAGCTCACGTTCTGGACAGTACAGTCCAACAGCGACACGGCGGCAGGCGGTACTAGGCCTCGCAAGGCTTCTGCAATCACCTGCGATACCACAGCACTCTAGTAACTTAACTGAACACGCTGTAGGAAGGGTAAATGTGAACATAAATGACGGATAAACAAAGAAATACAACAGAATATCCAATGAGATGAAGCAAAATCAAAATTGATAGTCCGGAATGTAACTGCCAACTTAAAAAAAAAATAGTTACTAAACTATCTTTTGATATTGGATAGGGTTTAAACTTTTAAATCCTAATACACGGAGCACAAAGGAACTTTACACTTTCAAAATTATACAGAAATCAAATTATGGCGTAATTCACACCCATATAAGTTAATAGAAGAACTGTGGAAATATTTGTTTCAAATAACCCGCGTGATCGTTGTTGTTACGCGGCTCCGCTAGATGACACTAGTTTTGAAAATGGCTACCCGATAACAGAGAAGTTGGTGTGTTCTGCAGTTACGGAAGGAAGGGAGACGTTCATTTCGCACACAACCACCCAGCCGAGTAGACAGTTGCGTAGCAATATTTGCCAGAGTTGAGGCAAGCGAATCACAATTGCTATGGCCTTGATATCGAGTCTCTGTGAGGTGTTTACAAAACTTCGAGAGTTTTTCGAATAGTATAGGCGCGAAGTACTAATTACGCCGAATTTGTTTTCTATATAATTTTTAAAGCGTCAAGTTCATCTGTGCTCAACCTGTTAGTAAGTGTATCACCTGCTTTAATGATCAGTAATTCTATATTTCGCCCAGTTTATTTACGAATTTATACCATTTTTAGAATATACAGCAGTTATATTCTAATTTACCGAATAATCTTTGTAATGGAGACGCGTTGTGTTTTCTTCGCGTATAAATATAACGGATAAAATATCACTACCAAAAATCGAGTTGGGTTAGACTTTAATATTGCTTTAAGTTTGATGTTTCAATTATCACTTGATATGAACATTGGAGTAAATTAGGTTTGTGCACTGATATTTATTCCCACTTCTGAAAACGCTAATTTCTTTTAAATAGTGGTAGAAAATTACCAGATACTAAGTCTCAACCGATAATTAGGCTACTACTGTTACTTATTATAGTGGAAGTTTCACTAAAATCATAAATTCGATAAATAACTTTTGCGATTACAAGTAGGAAATTTAAACTTACTTCAATTCAGATAACTACACGAAAAGCATCTAAACAGCTGACTGTAGAAGTATCTACATTGACGCTAAATTTTCATTCTGCCACAAATCCCCGATACACAGCGGCACTGCCCCTTGAGGGACCTGCAACTTCTCTGACTCTCGTGTGATGCGTGTAGCCTAAGAAAATAATCTCCGAGGGCCACTAAACGGGACGTAACAGGTGGATACTTATAAGAAGCCGACCTCAACTCAACGCAGTGTACTCTTTTGCCACAAACGAGGTTCCGACGACCGAGTCATGGAGGATATGAAGTATTCACGGCGATGACTGTGGGGTTCTGGGTTGACACACCGCTTAGTCTTGTAGGAGATTATCAACGTTTACGAGAAACCTTCTTACGGGATGAACTATACCCTGAAGATGAAGGCAGTATGAGACCACGATATAAACCTTAAATCTGGTGTTGACAAACGCCAACTCCAAAGGAGAACTATTAAATTAGGTGTAATATCTCAGTCGTTAAGCTTTCAAAACTTTGTTTTTACGCAAAGATGGCTGCCTTCTCCATCACCAGCCCTGATGATGGAGGCAGAAAGGATCTCTGAAACATCGATTAACTTCTATCACACTAAAACGGCACTTCATCTAGAAGACAGCCTTCTTCTTAGTCACCGCCGTGAGAAACTCAAATTCTGGTTCTTCGGAACCAATCTCAAGGCCGCAACACGCCTCAGACCGCTGGCCACTGTAATCGACGTCTATAAGCAATGAACCAACGAAAACACTGAGGAAATCTTTGATTTTTGCCTCAAGCTACTTCAATGGAGCTGCATGAATAATCGATAATCGTATCATATCGAAGAACTATGGAGAACAGATTCACATTTTAAAATTTGATTTTATAAATAGACCTTACGTTCACTTGTTTCGGACAAATACCCACTGCTGATGTAATTAATCGGAAGTTGAAATGGACAAAAACATGTTTTACTCCGAATCCTGTTAACTGTGCACTGCATTATTATTATTATTTAGTGTTTTGTCTGACGACAGGTCCATATGAACAGGATCCTTCCATCCTTTTCTCGGACTGGGACCTGTTCATATACGTTCTTGGCAGATGATCCAGAAGTGGTTTGCCATTGCCTTCGTCTGTGTGTGAATGGAGTAATTGTTGGGATGCAACGGAGGAAAACTCCGTGTTGCCTAGACCAAGGCCTTGCCCAACACAAGTTATAAATTCCGGCACCGAGTAATTGTTGGGATGTCACGGAGAAACCGGGGAAGCCCCCGGAGGAAAACTCCGTGTTGCCTAGACCACGGCCTTGCCCAACACAAGTTATAAATTCGGGCACCGCCGGGAATCGAACCCGAGACCCCAGGATTACAAGGCCAGCGTTCTAACCGCTAGACCACCTTGGCTATGTGCACTGTATAGAATATTTTAAATAACGTCATGCTTTTACTACATGTGATCATTGTTTTAATAAGACACACTGTAAGAATATCAATTTGCGTTCTAATTAAAATCGGTCTTTTCTGCGTAGATCATACACGTAGATTATCAACGAAATCAAATGTTTAAGGGGTTAACTACGAAGACGGACTGACATAAACCTGTCATACATTTAAAACGCGGCTCTAAACACTACACATGAACCATATCACGAAACCAATGGTAATATTACATTCTTGGAGACGTATGCCACTGTTGCAGTCGATACACTGCTTAAAATCGGTACGAGCGCAATTCCAGCTGTTTTGTCGTCCGATGGCCACTTGTCACAGACAAACACTTCCTTTGTCCCGAAACTTTATAAAAGCAGTCGGTGAATTGCCTTATTGGGTACTTCCTTGTCAGGGTACGCATTGCTAAATGCTACACGATCTATTCAGATTCGAAGTAATGTCCAACAAATAACACGCGTTCAGCTTGTGAATACATCACGTTAACACGTGCACAACTTTTGAGTAACTGGCGTTAGCAACGGCTAAGTAACTAGGGTGACGTGACTTGAGTATTACGGGAGAAGTTGGTAGACCTGATTCTGGTTACATTTTCTTAACACAGCACGTTATAATTGTTGGATAGCATTTAATATTAAACACTACGTACTTTTCTAAGCACAGAGCGCAAATAACATATATTATAAAAGCCAAATGAAATATGATTAAGAACGAGTCATTTATGAATGTTTACTCCACACATGTAGTGCTTTGTTGATAATCAGAAACGATGTTTATGAGACATTTCATATTTTAGTTACGATCTCACCTGCAGGGCGGAGCTGCCACCAGTACACCGAAGGGTGTGGGGGAGGTCACAGGAACAAGTCACCGCGGGCGGCTGAGTGATTTCTGGGCAGCGCCACGGAGTTTTGTCTGTGTTGTTCCGACCCGACACTAAACTGGAGAGTAGAAGCAGAAAAAGTAGCGCCAACATCCTGCAACAAAAAGTCCCCATATTGCAGACATCGACAAATCAACCAACATCATGCACACATTAGATATATATTGCTGCCCTAAGAACTAACAAACTAACAAACTAAGAGTCCTTAAGACACAAAAATTGTACGCTGAGCTTAAAACCTCCTTGTAATGTCTCATAATATTTAACGTAACAGACGTTTTATCATGGTTTATGGTGAACTACTGTTACAAAAAAATATTTTTTTAAATATATAAACTGATCTGTTCGTAATTATTTTGCAATTTTTCACTCTTAATTTTATGGTCACTAAAGATGCAGTGAATTTTCTCTTCTTTGCCTTAAGCAAGCTTTAGTAGTAGCAAGAATAAATTCTATTTTGATTATGATCGAGGGATCTAACGATATTTTCGAATTCCCTTGAATTCAAACCCCATTTCCACTGATTCTTGTTGACAATGATGAATTACCACGAAACCTACATCTTGCAGACACAGCTGATGGTAAACTCTTTAAAATACTGAACAGTCGTTTGAGCTACGACATACGAGGTGCGATCGGAAGGTTTCAAGACTGCGCGTATAAAAACCCGTACACTTATCTCAGGTATTAAATTCATCCATCACCCTCGAAGTAGTTCCCCTGGGAGTGAACACAACGATCCCAGCCCTGATGATGGAGGTAACCATGTCGGCGAATTACAACCGGACTACACGGCCCAACAACCCAGAAGACAGCCATCTTCAAGTTTGTTAAGTCTTTTAGACAGATCTATTTCAACAATCTGATCTACAGTAAATGTTTTCCGGTGTCTATACTCATAAATTTTATTGCGTACAAACTGTTCACACTTGCTTGTAGTGAGTTACATGAAGGTGAACTTTAATGCAGTCTAATTATTCCACGTACTCAATATTAACGAGAATTACGATTATTACAATTTGTACTCTGAGGAATATTTGTTGTCCGATACGTAGCGAAATGAAATTCACCTACTATCCTCACTACACGCCTTGAAAGCGCTTCGGGGAGGAGAGATGGGATGGTTAGATGTTAGATCGCAGATGGTGCTTGACAGGCTGACAAAGAAAGATTTCCAGGGATGCTTCCAGACTTGGCAGCGGCGCTGGGATCGTTGTGTTCACTCCCAGGGGAACTACTTCGAGGGTGATGGATGAATTTAATACCTGAGATAAGTGTACGGGTTTTTATAGGCGCAGTCTAGAAACCTTCCGATCGCACCTCGTACGCACCTGGGAGGTGGTGATATTAGAGGTCGGTGTAGACGAGGGGTTACCGTATCAATTATCTATACATGTATTAATATGAGTGTATATTTTACAATAAATATTTAAATGAATTTTATCAGATATGGTTACACGAACTAGCAATAATAAGCAACGTATACAAATACAAACCCTGAAACCTAAACCAATAAGTTGTAACCTATATTTAACTAGAACCAGTACCTAAATTTATTCTCTTTTAATTATCAGAAGCATTTTACTGACTTCGCGTCAAATGTTTTCGTGGCAGAAACACAGACAATGCACAGCGTGCTTGGTTAGTGTTGGCTTCCCAGCTGCTCGTCTCGACGACTCCTGCTTGATATCTGCCTTTTTCTATACTAATTAAAAGTAGTAAAAATGCCTGGTAGGGGCAGAGTAAAATCTGAACATTGGTCTTTGATTGGTGAAGACTTTAGATAACTTATGCTTTCACCTATGTTTCATTACGCACAAAGTATGAAAGTGCGTAGATTACATCTGTCAACCTTGAATCATCGCTAGCGGCTATGTATCAAGATCACAGCTTCCTTCCTGTACGTTATCTCAAAGCGTTACTCATTACGCAAGTCATATTGAGTTCTGAAATTGTTCTACTTTCGAAATTTAGGGAGTGACACCACGTAGGTTTCCAAACACGACACCATATAGCAAAATCCTTTTTAAAAGCTGATATTACTCCACCCGATCGATGATTCCGCGCTTTTATGACACTCAAAGGTTTGTTTTGTTTGTTTGTCATCAGTCTTTCGACTGCTTTAATGTGGTCCTCCATTTTCGCATATCTCGCGCCAATCTCTTCATTTCCACATCCTCAAAAATCTGCGTCACATATACCACTCTTTGTCTCCCGCTACAATTCTTCCCTTCAACTGTTCCTTCCAATACCAAATTAACCAATCCTGGGTTCCTCAGAATGTGTCCCGCCATTCTATCTCTTCTTCTCGTAAGATTTTTCCATAGACTTCTTCCTTCAAAACCTAACCTAACCTAACCACGTAATAGCCTCTAGTACACTGACACAAAAGTTCATTTCGAGGGTGTTTTGAACGTAAGTCAACGTAAGAAACATTTTATCCCTCAGAAAATATCTACTGTAATTGTTCGCCTTTCATTACCAAATCTTTTAATTTTTTAAGTTAAAGTTGTGAGAACAAAATCGATTTTTACGTAACGAGATGACAGGTTTATTCCAGTAAGAACCACAGTTTTCCCTCCGCTGACCAAATACGGACATGGCGAGTAATGCGCTTTAATGTTTAGAGTAAAACAGATTGCTTTGGTACGCCTGTTTATTCTCAGCTAACAAGCTCCGCTCTTTTGTTTTTATTATCGTTTGGTTCTGCTTTTAAACTTTGCCTTCACGAAACGACACGGCTGTACGTGAATGTTGAGCGAACGGGAGTAAGGCGGAGAGAGAGGACAGTGGGATAAGAAAACACAACAGAGGACCAGCTGCAACTTGAAAGAAGAAAGAAAAATGAAGCGATATTACCTGTCACCGTTTTCAGTACTTCTACTGGCTTCAGCTACATCAAACAACATCTACTTCGCACGGCAAAAACTAAATGTTGTTGCCAGCCTTGAGATTCCGTTGTGAGTGCGAACAAAGTTCAGAATACAAGCGGCAGAACAGAGAGACAGTGAAATTGTCCGTTGATTTCTACCGCGTTCACTCAAACGTTGCCGAGTTCCGCCAATCACAGCGACGAGCGATTTGTATGCGGGGCTGTGTAGATGGCACTCGCATTACAAATCGAGTCTGTAATGCCCTGCTTTGTGGTTAGTGAATTGGTTTTTTATTCCATTTGCATGAACCGCATAGGAGTTAAAATAAAAGTTGTCAGTGGAACCACGGTTCCGGAGAATTTGACGTAAATACGTCTATACGGAAGGGAAGTTTATATATTGGCTTTATTCTAAATATTTCCTTTATACATGCTTTACAATTGCGTAAAGTTTGATTAAGACATTGCTTATTTAACTTGAATTAGTTACGCTTAAGATGGGTCTGTGGTAGATAAATTTAATGTAAAGTAATGTAATGTAATGAAATGGTTTGTAGGTAACAACAATGCCGAGTAAACAGATGTTCCTTAGGTAAACATTATTGTCGATTTGTTGATAAAGAGATGAAGTTTCCTAGGTAACCACTGTTGTTTATTTGTTGATAAACCATTGTTACACTTTTTCGTTCCAATTTTTGCCGAATGACACTGACCCTAAAATATAGACTTATTTACGTCAAAAATACCCACAAAATATCTTAAGAAAATATATTTTAAATTTAAATATGCTTAACAGCGTCTCTTTACTATCAGACACTAATACAGCTCACATTTCGAATTTCCAACATCCGCCATGTTGCTATTTCAACGTCAGAAAATTAAAACCTACAGAAGTCGAACAGTCTTTTCAATAAGATACGAAGTTTAATGAAATCCAATTATTAGTTTAACACTTATATTGAGGAGGCAAACACACTCACTCTATGATGCAGGAAATTCTTTGAATAATCGATTGTATACATCACCGTGTTCACAAAATCCCGCCATCGGACTATATCCTGAGCCAGCTGCACCCAATTCGCTGCATCGATTCCTATCTTCCTAATGTCCATATTAATGTTATCCTCCAATCTAAGCCTAGGTCTTCCAAAGTTTCGCACCCAAACAGCAAAATTACACCTTTGTATATTTTAATTTTTACTTTTTGTACATGAGACTGAGGGACATATGTAGTAGACATGATTATAATGTTTCGGTTTATGTACTCATACATACGCTATAAACTGGATTAAGTTACATCCACGTTAGGAGTATGTTTAATTCTAAGCTCTGAACTTAATTTGTTATTTTAATGAGTTGGCAATGCATCTTGTAACTGACAGACAGACAATGTCGGTAAAGACAATACTTAGAACAGATTCATTTCGCATCTCAGTTGCCACTAGTCCTCGCTCCCTTATTAGGGCGAAGTCAACCTTGGAAGGAGGATAAAAAGTTGGATACAAACCACGTAGGCACACGCGAAGGTCGGAGGGAGATCATCTTTACAACCAACTTTCGTTCTGTATATAAAGTAGTTGATAACTTTTATATGCACCTGATCCCCTACCAAGTATATCGATAAGTCGATAAATTATATCGATAGCGTGTATTACGAGTAACTGTTGCAGATTTCAGAATTTCACGACGGCATCAATAAGCATGGCGGTGTTCAAAAATGTAGCTCCTCTGAAACGTCGGTAAATATTTAAAAGATTAAAAGGTGATATATATTAAAATACAGCCATCTTTAAAAAATAGCTTTGTTCTTACATCAAAGAACGAAATGAGGTTCATATGTAATAAGACAAATTAACGTAATTTTGAAAATTAAACTGCTATGTTGTTACTCTCCAACACAAATTTTCTCACAGACAAGCAAACGTTTACTGCCCTACAATTCTAAATACAAAATACAGGCAACTTTCGATTTACGAACATTCGCTATAACGAACGTCACAATTCATTCAAAAGTTCTTAAAGTCGCCAATAGATAGAGTTCCTTATAAAACGAAATGCCAAACGTATAGTGAACATGATTGTAAGATTTAAATAAACAAACTTTTAAAAGATTACATTAATTATCAGAAAATTATTATATGTTAATTAGTACATGATTTTAATGCTTTAAAATGGCTGCTAATGTATACGATACGTATCGTAAAAGCTCAGGAATGAAAGAT